TATACGGGACCTGTGGGATGGCTATTTAAGTACAGCTGTAAACTAAACTTAAGGTTGCAAAAACAGCTGGTACGATGAGGACTGGCGTGTCGCAGTGGAGAGAAAATAGACTGCCTACCTCGCAACGTTGCGATTGGCTGCGACACGTGCGCGATGGGATGGATCCCGAGAAATCAAGAGGGAAGCAAGATGCATCTACAGACAAAAAATAAACAGACCGAGATGGGTGAAAATAAAGAGGTTGAGAAGCTGGCCGACAGGGTAATGCTGAGAAGATACGACGACTTTCGGAATGTTTCAAGACCGGTGCAGACGATTGTGGGATACAGAGAGGTGATCTAGCCACCAATGCCCAGAGTATATTGAATTTATGGAGAGAACACTCCTTCAACCTGCTGAATAGTAGTGAAAATGGAGAATCCGGAGATGGTGAACCCGAAACCCCAATCGATGCCGATGGAAAAGACGTTCCATTACCTGACCATGAAGAAGCTCGAATAACAATCGCCCGCTTAAAAACCCACAAAGCGGCGGGAGCTGACTGCCTACCGGCAGAACTATTCAAACATGCCGGTGAAGAGCTGACAAGGTGCATGCATCAGCTACTTTGCAGACCTGGTAAGTCAACCATTGACCACATATTCACTATTCGCCAAATCTTGGAAAAGACCCTTGAAAATAGGATCGACCCCCATCACCTCTTTGTCGATTTTTAAGCCGCCTTCAACCGCCCGAATAGGAGCTGCCTCTATGTCTGAATTAGGTATCCCCGCAAAACTGCTGTGTAAGCTGACGCTAGACAAAACCAGAAGATCAGTCAGAATTGGGGAGAACCTCTCCGATCCATTCGATACCGTCATACGAGGGGTGGGTAGACAGAGTGACTCCTTGTCGTGTGATTTCTTCAATTTGATGTTGGTGAAAATTATAAGTGCTGCAGAGCTGAGTAGAGAAGGTACAATCTTCTATAAGAGTGTGCAGCTGCTGGCATACGCCGATGATATTGACATTATTGGCCTCAACAACCGCACCGTGAGTTCTGCTTTCTCCATATCTGGTAGTGAACGAATGCAAGACGAAATATCTCCTGTCATCAAACAAAAAGTCATCACATTTGCGACTCGGCTCCCACGTCACTGTTGAAAGTCATAGCTATTAAGTCGTAGATGATTTCGTCTACCTAAAAACCAATAATAACGTCAGCCAGCGCAGACTCACTCTTGCCAAAAGGTGCTTCTTTGGATTGAGTAGGCAATTAAGTTTATGAAGGAAACACTTCTTTATCTTGGGGAGCATCGCGTTTATATTGTATAAGGCTAGGAGGTAAAGCCCACCGTCAACAACTGATTGAATTTATGGCACCTCTACTCAATTTGGCAAATGAAACAGACGAAGTTTATAAAACTCTTGAGCAAGTCTTATGGCTAAGAAATGGTATCCCTTATAAATTGAAAAACTTTATTTTCCATTGCATAGACCACTTTGAAAAAACTAAGGCATAAATAATTGTAGATGTGAGTTTTTACTCAGTCGTGAGGACTTATTCTTTGTGAATGCACTATGTCTGTAACACTCGTATCCATTTTTAATTAGGCATGTGTAAGCATTTAAAAGAGGAATTTTTTAAGGAGATCCTTCCTGATATTAGGCAAAGATGAAGCACAGTTTGTATATTTTTTTTTTTGTGAGAGAAAGACAAGACGTACGAACTTCCGGTTTTCACTATTAATTTTTTTTTATTATTTTCCGTCGGCCTCTGCCCGAAAAACATGGCCCAACAACCCCCAAGCCTGCAGCCTCTTGTAGTAGACTGAAATCAAAAATCGTTATCATTACTTGAAGATCTTGAAATTTTCTACGTGCGGAACCTCAATTGAAAAAATTTTAACGATAAAATTATTGCATAATGCTCATTGCAATTATAAAGTTAAATTTTTTGCTAGTTTTTTCACTTCAATTACGTATAATCTTAGGTTCAAGACGTACAAAAAACTAGTTAGATCGGAAAACGCGTTCAAAGTTTTCTGAAAGTTGGCCTCGCATGCGTACGTGAGACAGGTGTGTTCGAGAAGCTGTGAGCTGCTTGAACCATTTTACTTTATTGAACCCTCCTCACTTCCTGTTGTAAAAGCCGTCAAGAATTATTACATAAAGAATATTAAAATTGTTTAATTTTTTAATTAAAAATTTAGCTTAAATATACTTATATTTGGAGCAACCCAGCCGCGATGTGTTGCTTCAATTATTATAAATTACAAAAGCACCAAAATGTATCACCTTAAGTATATAATTTTATATTAGATATAAACTTAGAAAATCTGAATTTTTTTGTGCCACTGCCCTGCAGATTTTTGTAATCAAATAGGTCCTTCCTGTCATTTGCCATATTGGATCAATTTGCGTCTGGCTATCACCCTGTTGCTATCCGATGACTGCTCGTGCTTTAAGGGGAGCAATTACTAAGCGAAGGTGCACTCAGCCGGATTATACCCTTACTTCGTAATGTAAGCCACTGGAGTTATTCCATGAAGTAATTTTTGGATTAATTTCAAAACTAATTTCATGTACACGTATGTACTCCTTGGAATACTCGGGTGTTATGCGGAACTACAGGAGAAGGAGTATATGTGCCAGCCCCCGTTAATTGAACCATAGTTTTTGTATGGATTGTGGTTAGATCTGGATTACTCTATTGTCCTCAAATAGTATATACATAAACATACATACATATATAAATGTCACCAGCGCACTTAGTAGTCACGTTTTTTGCAGAGGTATATTCCCTTATTATTATTAAATTACATGGAGTATTTTCAAAGATTCAAATAAAAATTTGCATCATTTATGTACAAGGTGTGTCCCAAACATAACCGAACTTTATATTTAAATCATACAATATACAGCGCCATCTATTGAAAATTTGCAACATTAAAAAGATACATTCATCCTCTTTCAAACGCACCTGGCATCATTTAAATCGGATGACAGATGTGAAAGTGACAGCCATTTCAATGAAACCAAAAGTGTGCTAATGGTTCAAAAATAAAATAAAATAATGAAATGACAAAGGGCAAATATAAGATTTTGTGTCAAACTTGAAAAAAAAAATTAATGAAAAAAGTTTATTGTGATGATTACACGATTTAAAAATGGTCGTGAGGATTTAAATGACGACCCTAGAGCAGGGAATTGAATACGAGTAAAAACGCTATTTGGAGAATTTTAATGAATTAAATGACGACCAAAAAATCGCTCGAATTTTTAATGAAAAATGGAATTTCTCTCTTCGACCATCCTCCGTATTCGCCTGATCTATTACCATGTGCCTATTTTTTTTTTCCAAAACTGAAAACCAAGATGAAGGCAGCATTTTTTGATGATATGCCAGCCATTCAAGCAGCCGTAGCCGAAGTACTGAAGAACATTTCTATATTCTATAACTGTGTTGAGTCAAATGGAACCTATTTTGAATAAATAATAACTTTCAAAGATAATATAATGTGTATTTTATTTTATATCCAAAAAGTTTGGTTATTTTTGGGACACACCGTGTACATACAGCTGCTGACAACTAATTAGAAACGCTCTCTTCTTGTAAGTCCTTGTTAAGTATATTAATCAAATTTGCAAATTTACCTTTATATTTTCTTAGAAACCACACTTGCATTGTTTTTGTTACTCTATTTTCTACTCAATACCCAAGGTTTGCCGTTGTGCATTTCAAGTACTATTATCACTCTTCCGCTTTGTGCATGCATTGCTTAGTGTAAAGTGAATAAAGTGCGACCGTTAATTAGAAACGATTGATGATATTACTAATTTTTGGTAAGTTTTTATCTAAAATTCATTATCTAAATTAAAATATTCATCTCAAGATTCGTGATGGGAGAAAGCAGCAGCTGAACACCTGCATTACGCAGCACTATTTTTGACCTTCGTAGAGCTGGCAAGTCATACAGTCAAATTGCGGACAAGTCAAATGCTCCGAAATGATAGCTTTTAATACCGTAAAGCATATCCAGAATTTCAAAACTGTCGCACAACAAATGTCGCACGCAACAAAAGGTTCCAGAGCACTTCAGCAGGAATAGACCACAGGATAGCAAAGATCTCGCGAAGAGACTCAAAAAAGAGATCCTCGGACATTCAACGTAAAATTCTGACCAAAATCCAAAAAAAAAAACAGGTGTAGACTTTGCCCATCCTCATTGGCCTTGGACTCAAAACCAGTGGAAGTATATCTTTTTTAGCTATGAAACAAACATATTCGTCTGATGGTCGGAGGTATTTCCGACGCTCTTTAATTCAGAATTTAATCCTCGCTATGTTTCACGAGTGGTGAAGCATAGTGGAGCATCAATTATGGTATCGCAATATGCTTCCTAGAAAGGTGTTGGTCCACTCTATAGTATAAATGAAATTTTAAATCAGAAGAAATACGTCGCCAAACAGGAAAATGCCATGTTGCCTTGGGATGAGGAGAATTTGCCTGTTATATGCGAATTACAACAGGATAACGATCCACAAAGTTGATGAAAACAATTTTTTGTCAAGAATTCTATCGAATTTTTTAGAATGGCCATCGTTTCTAATGAGCTGTCAACAGCTGTACATAACTAACGTTGGTATATCAGCAGAGTTACAACGTCAAAGCATTCAAGTTTTTTTTCAGTTCTTATTATTATTTTTTTCTTTTGCTTGAATTTCTTTGATTTGGCTTGCCCGAGAAGAAGCCAATATTTCGTTATTAATTTTTATAAAAAATACATATCAAGCAAAAAATCAAAAGAAGGTAGTTGTATGTAACTATTAACAAAATTACTTATATACAAATGCACTCGTATATGTATGTTAGATAATATGTATTTAGTGCTTGCTCTAATAATAACCTGCGACGACCATCGTATCGCTCATTTAGCACTGCAATACCGACAAACTTGTACAAGTTCGGTGAATGAGCTATTATGTACATACATAAGTGTACGAATGAGTTCAGTTTGTCGTGAGCAGTTGAAGTGTTTGGTTGTTCGGTTTAGTCTATCGGAGCATTGTTTTTGTGCTGATTTTTCGTAATGGATGGTCTAGTGGATCAAAAGTTTAATATTCGTTTGGTGGAAACGGTGAAAAAATATCCAGTTATATACAATTGTAACATTGAAGGATACAAAAAAAGACCTTGCATACTTCTCAGACAAATAGCGTGGAAATCTATTGGGAAGGAGTTAAATTGTGATCGTAAGTAATCAGGTTTGTCTCACTTGTTTCCTATTTGCCATTGTCAAATAACCGAAGCTGCATTTTTTCATTTGCTCAAATATGCATGAGGCACTTTGAGTTTTAAACACCTTCAATCAATATACCCCGGCGTGTCTCTATTTATTCGTAAAAGTTACAGGTCTGTTCGTATGTAGTTGCTATTTAAAGCTTTTATGTTAATCAATTTCTTTGATATGAAATGTTATGTAAGAAATTATGCATTTTCGGGTGGACAAAAGTATTTCGACTTAACATTTTTAGTATTTATTTGTGAATAAATCTGCGACTTTAGACAATTTTTTAGCGCTTGTAAAGCCAGCTAATCTAACCTCAAGCTAGCATTAACTATTACTTTGTTAAGCTTTTACCGTTATTTCATTAAATCACACCAAAAGCGTTACCAATTGATGTAAACAAAGAGTGCAGCACAGTACTGCAGAAAGACGGATGACTTTGCTACTTATGTATGTACATACATGTATGTTGTCCGCTCGATAACTTTTATTTCACTGAAATAGAACAAAATATTTCCCAAGAAATGCTTTAAACTGTGGTGAGACCGCTCCCTAAACGTTTGCACAAGGTAATAGATTACATTTGAGGGGTTTTCGTTTTTATTATTTTTATCATTTAATTAATAGTTAATAAATTTTGTGTTGCCAAAATACTTATCCTCCAACATTTATAAAGTTTTATTTTTATCTTGACCTTAATACTCTACCTGTTATATTAATATATTTCTTTAATAATTTTGGGCTAAATAAATTATCATTTATTACACGAAATGTGCGCTTTTTTATGTCAAAATACTTTTATCCATCATTGAAAATTATAAACCAATTTAGCAAAACACGAGTGCCGAAAACCGCTCGACAAGTTTTCCACTTACTTACAAATGTTCATAAGTATGGACGTTTGCCTTGTTATCGGGTAACATGGTTAATCAAAGAGGGAAATTTTTGCTACTTAAAAGCTCCTTCCGGTATGTTATATACATACATACCTATGTTATACAGAATGTAAGTAGATAATATTGTGCATGATAAAGAAGAGGATATCAAACGACAATATACATACATATGTACATATTCCAATTTTCCATTACAATTAGAGCTGGAGCAGCAGCCTCATACCTGAATTTTCAGTTTATTGTCTAAGAATAGGTCTCTACTCAGCAGTTGACGAGTACCGGCGTCAGTTGAAATAGGAAACTTTTAGACCGACACCAGAGATAAAATAGAGCCAAAGATGTCTTCGGGGAATTTATAATACTTTTTTCTACTATTATAAAAGACTGCCGATTTGTCAAAAAGGTTTACGAGTATGGAACCTTGCGAAATCTGTCCTGTCAAATGTAAAATTATAATGGGTGCGGTAGTTGACAGGCAAACTAGTTGATGCGGGCTTCATTGGAATGAAAGATTTTCAAAATAAATACGCAGACAATGAAAGAATCAACGAAAAAGGAAATTTCGTACCAAAAAGGAGAGTGAAGAATCTGTTGGCGAATCATGATGGAATGAGGGAAATTTAAATACGAAACGTCGAAGAAAAGGAAATAGTAGAAATGATTTAGAAATCAGGTGATTTCGCAGTTTTCAATGTAAGCAAACAAAATGGCGCGTTCCATACTTGTGAACCTTTACGATGATTACGATACAATAATTTAAAAGTAGTCTTATTCTCTCTTCGCATTCGTCAGCTGTACGTTTTGATCAATGGCTAATCACATTGCAAGCGGTTTCACTCTGCCTATGGTGAAGCCGAGTCTTAACAGATACTTTGCCGAGCAAAAAGGTATGCCCGCATCCCGAGCAGATTTTACCACATCATGACTCTCTCAAAACAAACAATCATTGAAATAATATCCTGTCTGCTTACACAATTTTATCTCTAAGACTGACTGACACTCTATGAAGTTCACTATCAAGGGTTGAAAAAACACTATAATTCGTGATTTTTGACGATTGAACATTTAAATAATATTAAAACTCTATGGAACGCTTTTTCAACCACCTGTCCTGGAATGTGGCTGTTAAATTTAACAGGCGGCAAAAGCGCTCGTAGCGGTAGCCTGGTGGTTAGCATTGCGCACGGACATTTGGAATGCTCGGGTTCATATCAAATAAAAAATTAAGTTAAATTTTCTAATTACGGTCGCCCTCGGTAGGAAACGTCCACCCCTCCGAGTGTATTTCAGACATAAAATAAAGCTCCTCATAAAAACTATCGGCCGTTTGGAGGCGGCTTAGTACAAACAGTAGGCCAACCACCAATTGGAAGAGGAGCCCGGCTTCAGCGGTTACAAAGCGCCAAAAATATTTTTTTCGACAGCGACATCTGTTCTGTTTAGAAACAGCAAACAGTTTATTAAAAAATTTATTCATTTTATTTTGCCATAATATATAAATATAGTGGAAAATAGACAGATATTTTATATTCATCCGCTTGAGGAAGATTTGAAGAAGCCTCTGTTCCCCATATTGCTGAGAGAATTTTAAGAAAATTTACTTTTTTTACGTGTAGAACAGGTGATTTACGTTGCTTCTTCCTTCCTCTTCGCAGCACTGCCACTAAAAAATTTTTGTTTAAAAGTGGTAGATTTTATTAAGAGAAGAAGGTTTCACGAAAAAGGGGAAATACGTTTAAGGGGTAAAGCCACTTTAGAGGTTGAAAAATAGACTAATTTTTCAAATTTTATTTTAGGAATATCGATTGAAAAAATCGCGCTAAATTATTGAATAAGAAAGTTGTATTCGTGAAGCTACCATCAAAACTTCAGATAAACCCAGTTTGAAAAATGGGATTTTGAGAAAACCGTTTTTAAAGTTTTCATTGTACTCAGCGCACGTTCTGAGGTGCTGCAGCAATATATAAAGTTCAGCTTTTGAAATATTTTTTTTTCAAATTAAAACCAATATCATTGCTAAGACCCAAAGGTGCCCTGTGTGAGATAGCTATGAAGCCTACAGCAAAGAGAGAGTGAAACCACTTTTAAATTATTGTATCATGGGAAACGAGGTGGTTTCCGAAATAGCGGCTAAAACTTCTACCGTCCAAGCTGTTGGAAATTGTTTTCCACTATTCCAAAATATAATATCTGAGACAACTCCACAAAACTAAAACTTACAATAATCCAAATGAACAGTGACCTGAAAAAGCAACTAGAAAATTATTTCTGTTTGTAATTTTAATTTTTGAAATTTTATATTCTTCCTTCCACTTTTTTAGCACTAGCATTGCAGAAAAAATGGATGCATTACCGCACACACTTTTCGCAAATGATGAGACAAAAGCAAAGGGGTGAATATACTTCACCATATTATTTATCCGAACACCTACAGTTTCTAATACCGTATTTGAAAAACACAAACGAGTCCGTGGCATCCAATACAAGCATTAAGGGTCTCAAAGATGATGATAAAGGGAAGGAGAAAAGGGAAGTCAAGCAATACGAGACAGATGCATATCAATCTGGAGATGAAAATATAACAGCCGAGGAGGTAGATGAGATGGACCAAGACTTAATGCATCTTGACAATTATTCCAATGATGAGGTTGTAAGCAATGAGGCTGATGTTGAAGTCACTAAACCTCATTACAGTCAAAATAGAAGGAGCGAAGTAGTTCACAATAGAAGTGTTGCTCTTCCACCCACACATGTTGCTTCATCTTGCCTTGGCAATATTGATATTGAGCAATTAGCAGCAGATGGAGATCCAAAACTACAGTTTTTATTAAGCTTATTACCAGATCTCAATGTAATGTCCAACTCACAAATGCGATACTTTAAGTGCAAAGTTCAAGAGTATGTCGGCGAAATTTTAAATTAAAATTAATATTAACAGAATTACCACTAGTAATTTGTAAATTTAAATAAAAATTCTTTGAACATTTGTTTTATTATTTATATATAGAAGAATGGGGTGAAGAAAACAGATGCTCTGATGTCCATGAAAATTTGGCAAAGGGATTCAGAACGAGTGCAACATGCCAAACGTACATACACATATCCTAGATGCACTTCAAGTCCGCGCTCGACACTGACCACCCTTTTGCCACCTTATACCTGGGTGCCAACAAGCGGTTGATTGAGTTTGCACATCCAAAGTTAACATCAAATCAACATCAATCTTTTGAAATATGGAACTCTTTGAACAATACAAAGGACTTACTCTTCGTTCTTTCTAAATAGACATAAGTTAAAGTGATATCATTTTCTAAAATTTAGGGATGTTTTCAAAAAATACCCGGCTTTAGATCATACATGTGAAATAGAATAATTGAAAATCCTAATTTTGATCAGCAACAGTTGGGATCTACGATGGCTTCGATGAAGTTATTTACCTCTATCTGCACCCTAAATGAAGGGTACCGAACTGTTAGAAACAGGACAAAAATACATGGATTGGTGTGAAATCTTTCTTTGTATCCCTCCTTCTTCAAAATCAACTTTTTTTGCATCTAGTAGAAATCTAAAATTATTAGGCGTAGTAAAAAAATCCATTATTTTTCCAATATCTCGCGTTGTGTAGGTGCTATCGGGTCCCGCTAAGTGGCGTTACACAGATGACATTTCGTGGTTGATTCAGTTTTGCTTAAGCTTGCGTCAATGTAAGCACTGTTTCGATGGCCCAAGAGCTGAAGATGGCACACAAACCGTTTGCAACCATTTGAATAAGACTGGATACAAAAAGTAAGAATTAAAGCCTTGCCAAAATAATTGATTTCTCTTTACTGCACATAATATTTTGAGACGAAACAAAATAACCCATTTGGAAGACTTTGAAAACTGATATCATTTTCTTATTCTCACTTTTATGAGCTTTAGCACTACCTCTTATTACAGACGATAGCACCAGTTCAGCGCCACGTAATCAAAACGAAATGAAATCGTTAATGTTGACAACGCAGAAAACTTGTCGTTGAGGTCTAATGATTTCATTCCAATATAGTTCCGTTCTGCGTACAGCTGTCCAATTGGTAAAAATTCTTAGATGGTGAAGGAATCCAAAAGTTTAAACCCCAACCATTGCAGAACAAGTTTTTTGCCTTCACTACAATGACGATAGCGAATTCTTAAGTCATAATATGAATTAGTAAATTCTTTTTAAAATGTTTTACTCAAAGCGACCCAAGCAAAGATTCGTTCTAGTGTATGTCCTATCCCAATACCCATAATTTCAAAATAATTTTAACAACAAACAAGTATCTATGTACACATGTACATTTTTAAGGTTTATTTACTTCGTCGTTAGAGGATTTTCTCGAACGAAATGTTCCGATAAATCGAAACACAGAACTCTAAATTAAGCAATCGGTTTCGAGCCTACATTCCAAAAGGATTTCAAAACTCCCTGATTATGTTAACCCTCCCAAATTCCTTTGAAGCAAAAAGCCGAGCTCATTTAATTGCAGTTAGGTAAAGTAGTTGTATTCCATTTACATACATGTATGTATGTATGAGTTTCTTTAAAATAAAATTATCTTACACCCACTCTTACCCAACAGCTCGGTGAATGTGAGATAAAGGCGAAGAGACATATTGGAGTGGGTACTATACACATGCTATTGTAGTATGTAAATATGTAAATATGTAGGTATGAAGGTATTCTTAAAATATTAAGGCTGCAACTACCCAACTCACTCTCCAGCCGTCCATAACTGACGACGTTAGTAGTGAAATACATACACGAGCTATAGACGCCGCTGAGAGCGGCGAAATGTTGCCAGCTACCTGTGTGTTTGCACACTTTTGAACAAATTCATAATTTTCGTCAACGAATTTCATAATTTATTTGCTTGAACATAAACACAAGGCAAATATACATGATCTATATAGTAACAAATAATTAGTTACGCATTTAGTTTTCATTTCTTTTGAACAAAACTACGCATTATCTTCAATTATTTAATGTTACTTTAAGAAAGGCTATACTGGCAACCTTGTATAGCAACTAAAAATGAGCCGAGCCGGTTTTACGGAAAAATCAAAACTTCGTTGGTTTCTGCGACACAAACGTCAGCAACGCTATGGTAAATCGGTGACAACTTTGTGTTTACATGGCGCTCTCATAAGATAGGTTACTATGGACGGCTGGTACGCTCGTTGGGTAGTTGCAGCCTAAATGTTCCATCGCTGCTGAACTGCAAATGTGTTTGGTTTAGGTGCCGCGGAGTGCATATTATCGGAGTTGAAAACAAAGTCAAAAGCCGGCATGTGTTGACGTCTCTCTCACGATGTAACTCAAACGAGCAAGTTCTCGTACGAGCGCACACAACGAGCGCACAGTTCCATGCATACATCGAGCGGCATGACAAGCACTACAATACCAAACCAACTTATACAAGTGCGCACACCAATTCAGTTTGCAATCAACCTTTGCGGTGTGTGTCCGATCCATGTTGTATTTGTAGTATTTTTGCGAATTTACGCTTCATAATGGACGATCTGGTGGACCAGAAGTTAAACATACGTTTGGTACAAGCTGTGGAGAAGTATTCAATTATATACAATACCGCAATAAAAGGTTTTAACCGAAAGCGGAATATTCGTGCAAGGGAAGCAGCGTGGAAGACTATTGGAGAGGAGTTGAAATGTGACGGTAAGTGCACAGTAGTTCACATGCGGAGAGAGTAGAGAGGAAGAAGCAAGCGAATTCAACGTTCTTTACTCGTGGAATTATCAACAAGACATTAATTATTAATTATTTTAGTCTGTAGTTTTCTTTTAATTATAATTATTTAAACTGTTTTGTTAAACACTAACTTTCAATGTTATTAACAAAAATTTGAAAATAGGCACTGACAAAAGTGAACTTTTCAGCTAATATCTAATGGTAAAGTGTTACTTTCTTCGATCGATACTACATATATCTGGTATAGTCGATTCCCGTTAATTCGAAACTCGAAAGACGAACTATCGAGTGTTTGAAATATCTATTGGTCGGAAAGTTTTAAACAAAAAGAATTGATGCTTCGAATTTATTGGATATGGATAATCAATTAATATTTATTTACTTCTATTTTCTTACAATTACTGAACTAAAGGTAAGGGGTACATATGTACATACATATATACTTGTACATATTTATGATGTGAATTAATTAATATTTCGAGAGAAATATGTTACATTGGCTTGCTCAAAAACACACTGCTGCTGCTCAGACTTCTTAATAAATTTTAATTAAGAGAAAAAGCGTCTGAAATGCTCTTTCTCACTTTCGTTTTGTAGGCAGAAGCTTTGTATGAATCGAATGAGGTTCTTGGTGTCTCAACTGATACCTCTCATATTCGTGGTTCCTTTTTTCATTTGTCAATGAAATAGCCGTCAAAACCGTGATATTCGCCGTATTTTAAAACGAGCTTAACAATTTAAAGTTAATGAGGATCCCATGGTGCAGTGATTGCCATTCGGCGGAAAGAAGAATTCTACATTGGAAAATGTAGGAGGACTGTTGTGGAATGCGAAATTCTCTAAAAATTCTTCGCTTTTGTAGTTTTGTGTTCACGTTAACTGCCAAACTGTCAAAGCCAAATGTTAAAAAGCTCTGTCGTCATCAAAGCTTTTTTGTTGACACGATAATCAGTAAGAAACGATTTCATTTCTTTGAAACATCGCAGTTTTATCGCTTTTCCCATCACTTTGGTTTTAAGTTTCTCCGATCCGTCAAGTAAAACTGTTAACCTCGCTTTACAATGTTTTCCTCCATAATATTTTTCTTTTTTGAAAGTAAGTAAGTTTTTTCACAAACTTTTTTAAACACAATTCCATTTCTGTTTTCAAAATTTGTAAGCCAGTTCTCAAAAAGTTTTTGAAGTTTAGGTTTAGCAATCTATGCTTTTTCCTCTAACAATATTCCGCTAATAATTCGCCTTTAGTAGTTCTTTTCCTTACTACAACAATTTCAGTAGCATACATTTTCCCCTTGTGCTTTAATATAGTTGAGAGAGTACTCTTTCTTCTTTTGTTCTCTTCTTATTCTCAGATATAATCAAGCATTTATACTTTTTAGAACTCACAGCCAGTCGAACTTTTATTTAATCCGTATCCAACCTTCGAATTATCGGTTTTTAAGTGTCAGAACTAAATTAAGAATGATAATAGTTAACAGAATTGTATGCTTCTTTGCTTCTTTGCATTCATTCATTCCTAATTTTATCCAGCGTGGACAAATCAACTGTTCAAAAGCCTTTAGCATTCCTGTTATAGCCACGAAGAGTGCCCACTGACCGTTGATAGGAGCCTTCTGCCCAAAAGCCGCACTGTCGCTGCAAGTTGGAGTAGTATTGCGAAGATTCTTTTGTTAAGAAGATATTGGTCTATGAATCTACATACAAACAAATTTTGTATCAGCAAATGTAAAAGTAGAATGCAAATTGCAATTACTTCGACTCTGGCAGCTCCAGCGGATTGTCTTTTCCCTTACAGTTTTGAGCTTTATTTTTCGCCGGTTTCTCCAAGTTCTCCAAGTTCTTCAATCATTCAATATGCTATCACGGCTGAACTCCTTACAAGAGGCCTCTCATAAGCAAGAAAACCCGGGCATTTCGTTTGAAGTTCACAAATAATTTGTTGTCAATAACTGTGAAAGTTGAAATTGAACGTTACAAAAATTTGGTTATTTTTTTTAAATTTAAAACAAGACAGCATCATTACTTTTACTATCAAACGAATTTCTTTAGACAAAGTAAATTTCTACTTATTCAATGACATTCGGCACGACAACGCCTGTAGAAATTTTACAGCAGATCTAACAATGCGATTCAAAATCAAACCATTTTTTTACTTATGAAAAACTAAAAACAAAAAATTTTAGCTCGCATTTCCTAATCAACTTGGTGTTCATCGCAGAACGAATGCGTCATTAGTCAAAAGTGGCTTTTCCAATATACGAGCCGTATGCATATATATATGTATGTATATGTATCTGATTAACTGTTAATATATGTAGCTATAATTAAAACCGTTTTGATTTCATCGATTGTAATTATTATTACGTTTTTCTTTTCCCTCCCGTATTCTAGAATCAAAATTGAAAATTAAATGGCAAACTTTCCGCTCTTATTTAAATCGAATAGAAAGGGAAAAGCGGAAAGGGAAACACGTTCAGAAATATTATTTACATGACCACATACAGTTTCTCCTACCATATCTCAAAAGTTCCCAAAATAAAACATACAATAAAGAAGAGACGGGGGTTAATGAGTACGATTCAGAAGACATGAATGAAAGTGTTGAAGAATATGAAATAGTTGACGAAGTAGATGATGCCGATCAAGACACCAAGAATTTTGAATATCATGATTTCTCACCAGAGAATGAAATTGTAACCAATGAACTTATTGCAGGAGCTCCCAGCCCTCGACCCAGCCCGAAAAGGTACAGCAAAGCGGTTAGAAATAGAGCCGTTAGCACCAGCAAACACTCCACTCCACTTTCAATGGCCGCTCAAACTGCTTCAAGCTCCATTGGAGATGCTGAACCTGAACAATTAGCAAATAGTGAAATTGCGAAAAGACATTTTTTATTCAGTCTCTTGCCAGACCTTGATGAAATGTCCAACGCGCAAATGAGACATTTTAAATACAACGTTTCAAGGTTGATTGACGAAATTTTGAAAGAAAAATGAAATAAATGACGCTTGAATGTCACTATTAAAAATTAAACGATAGATCACATTGGTAAACAAAATTCTTGTTTCATTTAATTTTTTGTTTTCTCTTATGGGTATTTTTATGACTTGAACTAACAAATTTACAGCCACTGATAACACTCTTCCAGCTGTTGCAAGCTCGACAGCATGCTCTCAACGCTCGACGTAGTCTTTAGATTCCTTTTTGTCTCACTCATGATTCCTTGAAATCACTCATGAATCAAACAAATGAATTCCAAGCTTCAGTCATTGATTTCACGAAACTGGGTACTTCATGAGTTGACTAGTCTGTGGCCAAAAAAAAGGGTCTTCACTTGATGGAGTTTGAGATTGCTGAGTTGTACCTCTTATGATATTATTTGAGGTTGTTGAACACTTAAAGGGTGAGGTCACTCTAGGTTTTTGAAAACGAACTTTTATTTTCGCTCACAGGGTACCTGTGGAACTCAGGAATTAATATTGGTTGGCAAATGGTTTTAAAATGAAAAAGAATATTTCAAATAACTGAACTCGCGTTTTCTCAAAATCCTATTTTTCAAACTGGGTTTATCTGAAGTTTTGATGGTGGCTTCACAAATATATTTTTTCAGAACTACGTTGCCGTTTTTTGATTAAATGTAAATTTTTGTTTTAATAATATAGTGCCTATTTCTAAGTCAAAAATCAGTCTTTTTAAAAAAATGTGCCGCTTTCACAAAAAGAAGTTAAAAAACAAATCCGAACGTATTTCAATACCGCAGTTTATCTATCATAAAACTTGTTCCTTTTTCTGATCTAGATGTCATCCTTTAGAAAAAATCGGTCCTATCGTGGACGCCTTTCAAAAAACATGGTGAAATAATGGACTTAATCACCGCCATTTTGTATGAAAATAATAATTAAAGAATATTGTTAAATAGAAATTCTATTCCTTTTCCCATATCTGCAATAAATTAAAAAAAATTTGTCTATTTTTCAACCTTTAGGGTCTTTACCCATTAATTTGACTGCCACTGGACTACAACCGTAGGCATATCGCTCATCGCCAACTTTCTTGTTAAGTATTCTCTGATAGACTCACCCTAAAGCTTGTGTGTCATTGATTTGACTTGAATTTTTTACAAATACCGTATATTACATATAATATTATCTTTTGTTCTCACACAGGAATTCCAATTTAAATTTATTAAATTTTTGAATTTTAAATGTCAATACTGACAACCTTGTATAACAGCAAACAATCAGCTGAGTCTGTTTAATGGAAAAAGCCAAATCCCCGCTGGTTACTGCGGGAGAAACAACAGTTTTTGGGTCGGCAAGCTGTGGTAACAGCTGATTCGTTATGTTTTTGGTTAGTTTCAGCGTAAGCGTTTTTACTTGCTAAACCAAGGTTAACGTACGGCTTCTAATTAATTACAGATTTATCTCGTTCTACAGGCCATTTTTGGTCCCTATGACCGACATCTATAGCCGTTGAGCTGAATATAGCAGACGCGTTGAGAAGGCCTGCAAATAATAGAAATCATGCCTGGTGCTGGGATGTTGCAGCGTTTGACAAATAAAAAAAAAAGAGAATATATTTAAAGACACGGGACTATGAACATTGTTAACGGTAAAATGTATATATTTTAACCTTTTATAAAGAGCAAATCAGTAACTTTTCGGAAATGTTTTTCAGTTGAAAATATAGAAAAGACCAACGGCACAAGGAAGGGGAGCGAAAAATGCAGGTGAAGTGATCTTGAGAGCATACGGATAGGATGGTCCAGGAAATAGAAATGAGGGAGACGACATGGAATTTTATTTCCCCAGAATACCGGATTCGGGAAGCCCAATGGCTTTTTTCTTAATTACTATTACTATGAATGAAGCAGGTTGGTAAACTAGACAGATTATATTGCCATTCAACCTCTCGGTGAGGAGTCTAGGAGTATTCCATATAACGTTCACGGACATTCATTACGATTTCCGCTGTCCTACCTAAAACGCTGCTTCATCGAACTGATGGGAGAATTCCAGTTTCCTACTACTAAATGGGATACGTTAGCCGAAAAGATATAGTAAAACTAATGCTGCAACTACCCAACTCACGTAACAGCCGTCCATAGCAACCTATCTTATGAGAACTCCATGTAAACACAAAGTGGTCAGCGCTTGCCCATGCCGTTAGTGACGGTTGTCCCGCAGAAACCAACGAAGATTTCATTTTTTCCGTAAAACCGGCTCGGCAACATTGAATGATCGAAGATAATAATAATAAGAAAAATAAAAGCGTAACTAATTATTTGTTACTATATAGATTATGTATATTTGTCTTGTGTTTATGTTCAAGCAAATAAATTATGAAATTCGTTGACGAAAATTATAAATTTGTTCAGAAGTGTGCAAACAAACTGGCAGCAGGCAACATTTCGGCGCTCTCAGCAGCGTCGATAGCTCGTTTATGTATCTCGCTCTTGCCGTCGGCTATTATGGACGGATGGTAAGTGAAATGGGTAATTGCGACATAAGGCTGTGTGCCAATTGGGTGACCTTTGAATACATGCTAGGGCAGAGTATAACAACATAACAATAACAACAACAAATGAATGCAGCCACATGCCATCCAATGTAAAACGCAAATAACTTCATATTCGTGATGTTTTCTCAGACATAATTGGACAAGTTTTGTGGACGTGCTGCAAAAAATTCTTAAACGCGACCAAAAGTTCCTCTCATCATCGGGCATACATATACATACATACATATGTTTGGACACAAGTATTAACTGGCGACTAGCCCGTTGCCTAAAACTCTGAATTAAAAAGAAATTATTTATTGAATTCATTGCTGCTGTTCTATTGGTGGAAATATTAGTAAAGAAAATGAATTATTAATATTTTACCAGTGGGCAAACTTCCTCATGAGTTTTTCATTTTCTTTACGTCAAAATATACAATTTTATTTGGCAGAGGAAATTGTAAAATATTTCCCATCTCAATTTACCAAATGAGAAAAAAGATGCCGATTTTCACATATCCTAAGTAGTTATGTATGTGTAAAATTTTTCAAATTTACTATATATGTATGTAGTATGCTTAGCTACTACGCGTATTGACGTTTGTCTCACGAAGAGTACATTCTCACTCATTTGCTACTTGTTAAAACAGGCCGTCGCTCATTTGGTACTGCAATAGCGACAAACTTGTGCAAGATCGGTGAATGAGCTATTATGTACATACATAGGTGTACGAATGAGTTCAGTTTGTCGTGAGCAGTTGAAGTGTTTGGTTGTTCGGTTTAGTCGGTTTAGTCGGTCGTAGCATTGTTTTTGTGCCGATTTTTCGTAATGGATGATCTAGTGGATCAAAAATTTAATATTCGTTTGGTGGAAACGGTGAAAAAATATCCAGTTATATACGACTGTAACATTAAAGGATACAAAAAAATACCTTGCGTACTTCTCAGACGAAAAGCGTGGAAGTCTATTGGGAAGGAGTTAAATTGTGATCGTAAGTAATAAAAGTTTTCTAGTCCCCTTTCATACGCTTGAGGTCTTGACAGCAATTTTTTTCTATTCTCTTCTGTGTTTTCAATTTGCTTTCACATGCGTTATTGAATTCAACTGTTTCATTCTTTGCTTGCTTTTGACATTTAGAATTTTATTTTTGGTAATTTATAGAATTTTAAAATTTATGTAAACTCGTGGATTAACTATGAATTGTACATATTCGATATTTGAAAACAGTGTTGCCATTATCAAATAAATTGAAACCCTCTAACATATAACCGCAGCTGCAATGACGCAACTCTGAGTTTTAAAACTATTAATTTTTTCACTAACTTTTTTCTTCACACTTTATTTTTAGCAAAAACATTGCATCAAAAATGGCACCAATTCCGCAAATATTTTTCGCATGTAATGCTATTAAAGCAAAGGGGTGAAAATGCACCGTATTATTTATCCGAACACCTAAAGTTTCTAATACCGTATTTGAAAATCACACACGAGTCCGTGGCGTCGAAATCAAGCATTGAGGAACTTAACGATTGTGATGAAGAGGAAGTCAACCAATACGAGATAGACTCAGCTGAAGAGGTAGAGGAGATGGACCAAAACAATGATGGGGCTATAAGCGCTGAGGCTGATGTTGAAGTCACCGAACCTCATTACAATCAGAATAGAAGAAGCGAAGTAGTTTGCAATAGAAGCGCTACCCTACTGCCAACACATGTTGCTCCATCTTCCACTGGAATTGCTGAACTTGAGCAATTTTCAGCAAATGGGGATCCAAAACTACAGTTTTTATTGAGTTTGTTGCCAGACCTAAACGTAATGACCAACGCAGAAATGCGACAATTCAAGTGCAAAGCTCAACAGTTGGTTGATGAAATTTTAAACTAAAATTATAATTAATACCGTTACACAATTAGTTTATAAAATAAATTTAAATATATTCTCTTTCTTTTGTTATTAATATATTGAAACTTTTCGTGAAGGAATACAATCGAAATGTAGGGCGAGTTACAAAACGTCAAAACATGCCAAAACCGCATCATTACAATGCAACCCTGCATTCTATAAATTTTCCTTGCAACAATACTTTGCAAACTCTGACATTTTGGAACGCTTTACGGTGAAATTGCTAAAATATATAACAGATCAAAATTACTATAAGTAATATAATGAAAAACAAACATCAGAAATCTTAGATGCGCAGTTTGCTTTTGTTTGTACAGCGTTTTGGAACCTGATAGACTATATGGAAGAACGACGGAATTTGCCCTAAAAGAAACTATAATTTCAATGAAAGAATTTACAAATGTATATGAAGGACAGAGGGCTTTTTCTAATTTCTGTTCTGTTTTTATACAGCCTAACTGACATAGCTAAATTGGAGCGTTCGGCGAAGCGTTTTCTAATGTCGAGTGGCAACGGATGTTGGTCGTACCAGGATTTCAACCCGAGTCTTATTTTGCTTATTTATCGGACTTGAAAATCAATAAATGTTTGAAATGATGTTATGAAACCGACTTGGTTGAATCAACTTATTATCGTTGAATATTTAATTGATTGATTTATTATCATTGAAAGGGGACAAACTCGAATCATTTCTGAGGTCCGGACCTGGCGCCATCTGACCATAATTTGTTCGGTCACAGAAGTTCCACACCGATGGAATTAGGAAGCAATTAATAATTGCCAATATGTATGTATGTATGTAGATAAAATTAATTTTCTAAAATATACAAAAAAAATCCGCAGACTCTTTACATAAATACTTACTTTATACATGAATGCATTTGTATAGGAGAAAGAAATCAAAGGTAGTGAAGTGAGTTAAATCGATTAATGATGAATTTACATACATATTATTCATATTTAATTTAAATTTAAATTATTTTAATTATTCGGCTTTTAGCTCCTGTATTCCACACAGGGCAAATATGTATATGTAAATATTCGAGTAATGCTTATTTCTCAATAAGCAATTTACTCCCAGATAGCCGATTATATCCATATGTGCATATGTATGTATGCACAGGCAAACTATCCTTGAGCAATTCCTGCCATTTAATTTCAATTTCAATTTCAATTTTCACAAGTTACTGAACAATTTTTTTCTTTGTATTGTATAGTATTATTATACTATAAGTATATAAGTATGTATCAACACTAAATAAATATGTAAATATGTACTAATATGCATACATCCATACATATGCATATAAATATATATATTGCTATAGATTCAAATTCCTCTCCGTCGTCGCCTTAACTAATATTGCAACTACCTATCTTATATACTCGTACTCCCGGCCGTACCACCCGACTGGACTAACAGAGACGAAATGTTACCAGCTGCCAGTGTGCTTACACACTTTTAAAAAATTTATAATTTTCGTCAACGAATTTCATAATTTAATAATCTATATGGTAAGAAATAATTAACGACGAATTCTGATTTCATTTCTCTTGAGAAGCTGCACATTTTTTTAGTTTATTTAAACTGGCAACCTGGTATAACAGCGAGCAATGAGTTGAACTGGTTTTACGGAGAAACTTTGACAGCTGAGTCGCTATGTTTTTGGATAGATGCAGCAGAATAGCATTCTAACTCATACATACATCTTATATGCACATATGCCAACAGAACAATAATCGCCTCGGTTGCCGAGTTGAGTCAAAGCTACAACAAGAGTTGCGCAACTAGCAAAAACTCAGTTTGCTCTGAACAGTTGACGTGTCTGGTGGGTTCTTTGTGTCGCTTAGCCTATTTTGAGTTTCAATATGAATACCACTGATTTGAAGTTTAACATACGATTATTGCGATGTGTTAAGAAATATCCGGTTATATACAATACCAAATTAGAGGAATACAAAACAAGGAATTGTATAGATTACAGAGATGCAGCGTGGCGTGACATTGCGGAAGAATTAAATTGTGATCGTTAGTACAACAGAATTTTTTCGATTTATATAATCGAAAAACCTTTTGCGTCCACGTTCCCGTTTTTATTGCTTTTGTTTATTCAGTGAATAATTATTCTAATAGTTTTTACGTTAATTTAATTTAATTCATATGGATCAATAACAAATTTGACTCCAAAATAGTTTAGTATAATTTTTTATGGAAAGCTACATGCGTCAGACACAATTTTATTCGGGAAACTTTACGATTAAAATTAGCAGGTTTTTTAACACATTTTCAAACGCTGCCCAGTCAAATGCAAGATCCAGTTTGTTTATTTTATAACCAGAATATGTATTTAATATGGCATTGGTTGAGTGTAGATCAAAATGGGTCGCCAAGCAAATATTGAATTGTGCGAATTAATCCTATAACATCATTATAAAGCACGGAATGGTGAAATTGAGCCAAGGAACTGTTCGGAATATCATGGAACGCTATGTTCGTTAAAGTCGTGCGTTAAATAAAACTAAAACGGCTCATAATAAAATATTTAACGAACGATTCCCAATGGATTGTATGGAAAAAACGCCACTTAAGTGCTCCAGCTTTAGAAGTGCTAAAATATCTTGGGGAAAGCTGGAACCTAGCAACCATACGAAGAATCCTCAGAGAAACTGATTTCAATGGCTGCACAGCTCGAAACAAATATGTCAGTGCTGAAAATCCAAGTGCAAGGTTGAAGTTTGCAAAGGACCATTTATATAAAGATGAAAGTTTCTGAGACATCGTAATTTTTGCGGATGAAAGTAAATTCAACCTGTTTAGTTCAGTTGGAAAGAGCTATGTATGGAGAAAAGCAAATGCTGCGCTGGAACCATAAAACATAGCACTGTAAAACATGGTGGAGGGCATGTAATGGTATGGGGATGCATGTCGTCTACTGGAGCTGGTTTTCACAAGAGTGCTATGCAGTGCTATGGATAAAACTGTGTATTTGGACATTTTAAAAAGGAATTTGTTGCAAATCAAGATGATCCGAAACACAAATCAGTCGTTGTGTAAGTTGGCTTAATTGGAACTGTCCGTAGTGCAAGCCCCAGAGCATTCTCCAGATTTGAACGTGATTGAGAATCTGTGGTCAGTTTTTAAACGATATTCGGAAAGAAGGCGACTTAAAAAAATCCTTACAAATGGAATGGAACACTATTGCTTAGACTACACGAAGAAGTTAGTGGAATCCATACCCAAACGTATGAAAACAGTCACAGACAGCAAGAGGTATCCTACTAAATATTAATTAACATAAAATTTTAGTTTTGTTCTTAAAAATATATGAAATATATTATTTTATTTGTTACTGCATCATTTTCGCCGCGAAATACAATTTGATAGTGAAGTTTGTTTTTGTTGTTAATCACATAAAATAAACATAAATCGTGGCCGCAGTAGCCGAATGGATAGCATTGCGTACTGACATTCGGAAGGCGGATTCAAATCCCGGTGCCACCAACATCAAAATAATTTTTCTAATTGCGGTCGCCCCTGGGCAGGGAATGTCAACACCTCCCTCATAAATAAACCATCAGCCTTTCGGAGGCGGCTTAGTATAAACTGTAAGTCCTTTTTGTTGGAAAAACATCAAGACGCAAAACCACAAATTGGAAAGCTCGACCGAAAATCCGAAAATCCCTTCAGCGGTTATAAAGCGCCAATTGTATATTTGTATGTATATACATATTTTTATATAAGGTTGTCAAATATCTCCCTTCCGCTTTTTTGCTCTTCATTCAATGCTTTATAAAAAGTGTTACAGTGATCGGATTTAGTTAAAATATGTGCCGTTTTGTTCGATGATCTGTTTCCATCTAAACGACAACTTCATAATACCTTCCTCATAGAAGCCCCCCTCCTTATTTGCGAAGAATTCGGACAGCCACTTTTCACAAGCCTCTTTTGAGCTCAACTTCACACCACCAAGGGCATTCGCCATGGACAGGAACAGGTGGTAATCACTTGGCGCTACGTCCGGGTTATATGGTGGATGCGATAAAACCTCCCATCCGAGCTCCCGTAGCTTCTGACGAGTCATCAACGAAGTGTGTGGTCTGGCGTTGTCCTGGTGGAACACAACACCCTTCCTGTTGGCCAATTCTGGACGCTTCTGGTCGATCAACTGCTTCAAGCGGTCCAGTTGTTCGCAGTAGATGGTAGAATTAAGCGTCTGGCCATATGGCAGCAGCTCATAGTGGATGATTCCCTTCCAATCCCACCAAACACACACCAAAACCTCCCTGGCCGTCAATCCCGGCTTGGCCACTGTTTGGGACGATTCACCGGCCTTCGACCACGACCGTTTTCGCTTAATTTTGTCGTATGTGATCCATTTTTCGTCGCCAGTCACCATCCGCTTCAAGAATGGGTCGAGTTCGTTCCGTTTCAGCAGCATATCGCAGGCGTTGATTCGGTCCAGAAGGTTTTTTGCGTCAAATTATGCGGCACCCAAAACATCAAACTTTTTTTTGTATCCAGCCTTCTGCAGATGGTTCAAAATGGTTTGGTGACTAACTCCCATCTCCTGGGCGATGTCACGAGATGTAACTCGATGTATTCCATGATTTGATCGGTATTTGTCGTCACAGGTCTTCCGCCGGCTGGCTTATCCATGGTGTCGTTATCACCGGCTCTGAATCGTCGAAACCATTCCTCCGCGGTTCGAAGTGATAGAGTACCATCCCCCAAAACACCATTAATCTCACGGAAAGTTTCTCTAGCGGATTTGCTTTTAACGAAGGAAAACTTTAGTGAACTCCATGTTTACACGTCTATAACTGTTGAACGCAATATCCAAACTAATCATACATAGCGTTGTTTTATAGGTTATGTCAAGACCTTTCAAATTATATATAGTGTTGCCAGATACGAGTTCTGTAGCGCTTTGTACATAGCCGCGAAATTCAAAAGACAAAAGTGCGGAAGGGAGATATTTGACAACCTAATATATATCTATGTATATATATACTTACCATTTTTAAAACTATAAATACATAGAGCATTTATGAAATTCGTTGTCATATCATGAATACGTTAAATTCACCCCGACAAGGTTGCTTATTTGCCTACTACTATTTTTCTTGGTGAATTCCTTAGCTAAGATAGGTTTGCTTACAGCAATCAGTTGGAGGAAAATAATAAAGTGAATTTAATTTGTGAAGGAAAGGGAAAATTGCGAGAAAATATGAGAAGTGTTACACGATTGTTTGTGGAAAACTTCAGAATGTCGCCTGTTATATTATTTTCAGATTTCTTCCCTCAGGTGACATATGTACAACGCCACATTAAAAAATATGTTTATTCTGGAGTGGAATCAGTTCCATGGCACATAAGTTGGCTATTTTGTAATATTTACTAGCTCTTCAATAGAGCATACATATGTGTTAGTAGAGAATTATTTAAATTTTTTTCATAATAAAGTTATTCCGGATATTGTTGCACGCTTCTGGTTCCTTAGTGAACGACGCTATTAAAAAAAAATCAGCATTAATATTTCCGAAAATAATACAAATTACATTGATTACTTACTTTCCTTTTGCTGTCATGTGAACTCTGAGTGTTGTGCTGCTCTTAAGTTAGAGATTCGTTAACAACGTCATACCTTTCTCGATAAATGTTCCCCTTTTGATTAAAAACACAAATGTGGAAACCCGTGCAAACTGGCAAAATATAAACATATGTATGTATGTATGTATCTGAGCAATTATTTTCTTAGGGAAAGTAAAGTACGGTTTTTTCAGAAATGGAGGTCACCGAGTTTTCGAAGTAAAACGCCAAAAGCGAGCCCCTCATATCTCGTGAATTTTGCAAACATATATATATATATATATATATATATATATCGCATATGGGTTGCCAATTGACTTCGCCAAGACGAGAGAATACCTGGCAATGAACCATATTCGCTCGTGTTGTGTGGTATGTGGCACCATCTTGATGTAGCCACATATTTACCAAGTCATGTTCTTCAATTGCAGGCCGTTAGTTATAATACGATGATAACGCTCCGAATTTACAATGATAGAGCGCACCTGACAATACGTCTTTGGGTGTAATGACCTTTTTGCAATTATTTGAGGATTCTCGAGGATTGTTCGTAAAGAACATAGAGCGATTGATTACGTCTGTTACACGATGGATACAACCGCTTACGGACGACTAGCTCATAGATATTCCCACTGATCTCCAACGCGACGTTGATAGCATTCAGTTGCGAAAAATCTCAAGATGGTCACAAAAGCTTGAGCATTTTAGTAATGTCAAAACTGAAAATATATTTAAAAGTTATATTATTACCTGTTGCTCTGTAGAAATTGCTGTTATTTTTTTGCCTTGTAGTTAGCTATCAAGTTGAAACGCGATTTCTCCAACTCTATGTAAAGATTCCGAAACTCTGTTGCTTTCAAGTGGAGAGCCAGCGTCAGTTGCGAGTAATTTTTTATATACAGACATACATTCCACTGTTATTAACATGCAACTTCAAGCTAGATCTTTTTTTAACCAATTGATATTAAGCATTTTTTTTATGTTTTTATACGGTATCCAATAAGGATTTGAAAAGTACCAATGACAAACAAATTAAATAGTTTATAAGTCTCCTATACCCTTACTTCGAAAAATTAACATGTGGCCTGCTAGAAATTTTGCCAAAAAAGAGGTCGGACATCTGGTAATATTACAGTTGCTTGGCATTTTAAAGAGGGGAATCCCACAATTAGTTTGTTTTCGTTTAAAAATACATATGTACATACATATGTATGCAAAGCAAGGTGAGAAGTTCAAACATTGGTAGACAGCGTGGACGAAGCACAATTGAAGTAAGGAAGTTAATTATTAGTCATTTTGAAATAGGAAAAACCATTCGGGAAATCGCAGAAGTTGTGAGCAGACCCGGCTCGAACGATTCTAACAAACAAAACCTGTGGAAAACAAAAGGAAGTCTGGACGACCGAAGTTGTTTTCGGCTGCAGATGAGCCGTGGATAGTGCAGCAAATCAGAAAAATCCAACCATGAGCGCTGCCGAGCTCTCAACAGAGGTTTTGCAACATCTCAATATAAATTGTAATTCGGAGAGTATCCGAATAGTCTTACGAAAAAATAATTATAATGGAAGAGTAGCACGGAAGAAACCATTTATAAACGAGGTTAACCGAAACAGAAGGATAAAATTTGCAAAATGTCATAGGGATGAGGATTTTCACTTCTGGAAATAAGTTTTATTTGCAGATGAAACCAAATTCAATATATTTAGGTCAGATGGACAGTCGTATGTTTGGAGGAAACATAATGAAGAGTTGCTACAAAGAACTTACGTCCGACTGTTAAACACGGGGGCGGCTCAGTAATGGTATGGGGTTGTATGTCCGCAGCTGGTTCTGGAAATTTGTGTTTCATAAATGCTAAAATGCACCACAAGCAATATCTGACCATTTTAAAAGAAAATTTCGTGCAAAGTGCGGAAAAGTTGGGTATTAAAGACAATTTCCAGTTCTACCAAGACAACGATCCCAAGCATAAAGCCCTTGATGTCCGTCTATGGTTGATGTATAACTGTCCTAAAGTGCTTGAGACACCTCCTCAATCTCCGGACATTCACGTAATTGAACATCTGTGGGCTCATTTGGAAAATAAACTGAAAATGCAGTTATAAGAATTAAGAAAGACCTAGAGGCCGCTATTTTGGAAGAGTGGGGGAATATAAATTCTTTAACATGCAAGAAGCTAGTTGAATCTTTGCCAAGAAGACTGATTGCTATCAGAAAGGGTAAAGGCTTGCCGACCAAATATTAAGAATATTTTGTCTCTCTTTAAATAATATTTTTAAATTCTATGTTATGTATAAGTCCGAGTTCTTTTTCAGTTTTGTTAAGTTGTTTTGTTCATATTATTTTTATACGACCGAGTTGAATTTAGTTTGAGGTTTTGGTTATTTTGAAAAATAAATTTGAAGAATAGACATATACATACGTTAAGCAGAAAGCCCTCTATTTGCATTTTATTATATATTTTTTGGTTTAAAGTCATATAACTTGTGTGTCCGAGTTCATTTTTGAGCCACTGTATATATTGTTTTTTAATTTTTGATATGGAGCCCACAAAAGAACATTTTCGCCAATTTTTACACTATTATTGCCTCAAAGAAAAAATGCAGCGCAGGCCTTAGAAGGAACACAGTGTTGAAGGTGATAAGTCAAATCACCCGAAAGATAAGCTACCTTCAGGTCGGCCAAGAAAAGTCGGTGATGACTTCAAAGCTTTAATCGAATCGGATGGTCATGTAACTAAGCCTGACATTGGAAAGAAGTTAAATATACCAGAATCATCGGTTCATCATCATATGCCACGTCTTGGACTGGCAAAAAATCTTGAATTGAAAGAAATTCTTTTAATAAGCCGCTCAACGTGTTTCCAATAACGTTTTTTTTCACTAGCCAAAAAACCTGAAAGAGCTGGGCTGTGAACTGTTGATGCATTCGCCTTGACCTTGCACCGTCAGATTACCATTTGTTTCGATCTTTGAGAAATCCTTAAGTGGTAAAACATGACGAGGTTATAAAATCGCACAAATTTTTAGGTAATTTCCCTATCCTCTTTACGCGAATATTAAAGGCGTTAAAATTATCGCTAAGTCATTGGACACCACCACTGAAGTTTTGTTTTTGTATTCCTGCTACTACTCTTGGGTTAATTTTCCTTGGGGGATAGCATAAGCCCAACAATTTGTATTCAACTAATTTTACTGCGGCAACTAATTTTTACGTATTTGGAAACTAATTGCAGCAAATGTAGATAAAACATTTTAATATGTATGCATATGTGCATGTGTGTGTCTTAGATTCCAGAGCAGTGCAAATGTACTATTACTGACTGCTAATTATTTCTTCTACAATATTTATTTATTTAAATTATTAATGCACTTTTTCTTTGACTCCATTTCTAGTGTTACCACTGAAGAGAAAATGGAAAAATTTCCGTAGCATTGCCACGAGGAATCTAAGAAAAGAGCAAATGGGTCAAAAGGTTCCACCATATTATTTACACAATGAAATAAAATTTGTAATACCGTTTTTGCGAACGACATGCGGCCCTGCATCCTCAAATAAACAGATTATGAACGGAGTAGCGAAGGAAGAGATGGAGTACGATGATGATGTACACGTCGATGACCTGGAACATCATTGTGAGAGCGACCTCGAGCAGAGTGAAAATGAAAATGAAGATGAAAACCCAATATTTTTTGGTTATGATGAAGATGAAATTCTTTCTCAAAATACGAGTACAAGTAAATATTTATCCGAACCAGAGGATACTGTTGAATTTGATAATATTCATGCTGCCAAACCTGCGTGCGACGAAAAGAGATGGAGTAAGGCAGTCCAGAATAAAATCATTACACAAACTCCATCACATGTTGCTTCAAGTTCCACGGAGAATGTGGATCGTGAGCGATTAGCGTCTATAGAAAAAGCTAAAAAACAGTTTTTGGACAGTTTATTACCAGACATCAATCAAATGTCCCACTCCCAAATGCGACAATTCAAATACGAGGTTTTAGTGTTGATTGACAAAATTTTGATAGAAAATTAATCTTGAACTCTTATAATAATGAGAAGATGCAAAATCATGGCACCACCGAAGCAACCTCTGAAAAATTCGGGAACGGATTTCACCTCATGCCGCCGAGCAAATTTTTTTTTTAAATACGAGTATACTTACCTTAATGTATTTCTTTGCTTTGGTCTTTTTACCACAAGAATCATTTGCAAGCGCGGTAAAATGGAAGGTGTTTGAAGTTTTCTCTCTGAACAAATAAAGTATAAATAATAATTGCATTGATCTTTTTTTTTACTTCAGATTCTCTGCCAGTCAACCCTGCCCAGTTTCCCTTTAAATTGGAAAAGAGCAGCTGTTGCCTAACATGTTACGTGCAAATAATTTGAATTGCCTATTTTTCTTCCAAACGTGGGAAAATAGCAAATTTCCTCGCTTTGTTCCACGTACGTGCGATTCTCTATTTCACTCACTGCGAAGGAAGACCTCGACTCCGTTGGAAAGAACCGGCGGTGTTGTCAACTAAAGAGAATACCAATGGAATCTGAAAAAGATTTTGTCTTAAATCCTTAATCCTCTTATGATGGTATGATAAATAAATAATTTCCTTCTGCTAATCACTTTGATAAACCGCAATTAAAGGATTGATTGGAAAATTGACCGGTGAACCACCGGTGAGAAGACCAGGTAGAGAAGGACGTGGCTGTACTTGGCAACTCCAATTGGCGCCAAACAGCGAAAAGAATAAATGAATGGCGCAATAATCGCGTAAGCGGTGTCTCAGCATTAAAGAAGAAGAAGGACCAAGAGCTGTCACACTTTCGGCGATCTTATCAGGCTTAGGTCAACAGGTAACATTAGTCTCACCAATGGAGCAACACTTTACATCTGGTCTGCTCTAAATCCCTCTCATCAGGACAGGCATCGAAACCAACCTTGGTCCGACGGATTATATCTGCTGCGTGTGTTCCAAACGACTCTACCAGCCATCTTAAAGTCTTCTCAGGCCTGAAGACACACAGAGGTTGGTTCACAAGTTATATGGCCCATTCTGCCAGCGCTCAAATGCCCCCCAGTCTGTAAAGCAGTGCCTTCTGTACCTTTACATACTCTGGGTAATCAATCACAACCCTTTACTGTCTCACGGAGCTCCCCGCATGCATGACATACTCGACTATATGAGCTGGGAGCACCTATCAATTGCTGCCTGCGATCTAGGAAATGAGGTTGACCGCCCGATCGGATCTTCTGAGCTGGGCCGGATACAACATTCTCCACAGGACCGCGAGCATTGAGAGGCCATGGCGGGTGCTTAGCGTTCATCATACACAACACCGTGCAGTTTCATCTCATCGATGGCGACAACGAAATATTTAGTATGTAAATCCCAGTTACTTGTTCTTTTGGGTGATTTTAACGCGCATTCCGATCTATGGCATTCTAGCCTGTCAAATGACTGTGGAGGGATGGTGCTGGCGGAGCAGATAGACGATTCGACATTCTGCTCCTTAGCAGACATTCCCATTGGGAGTGCTGGTCTGATAAGCAATATAGTCTGGCTCCCTATACTCACTTACCCATACTAATCTCGATTGACAGGCCTTCCGACATTGTTTCCGTAAACTGCGGTGCATTTTCTAACTTCGAAAAAGCTAAATGGCTCAGATTCACAGATTTTACTTAGGACTTTTTTAGTGCTCTCCTCACTCCATCAGACGTTACATCCGGTGAATGGCAGGCCGAATTGCAGAAATCCGCCCTAATTTCTCAACGAAAGCGGCAGTACTGATAATCACCCAACAAGGGATCTGAACCAGGAGATTCGGCGAATAGTAGACAATCATAAGCGGGAAAAGTTGGAGAAGCACTATAGATTCTGCAATCTCTCCTCTGGGTCACACGCGATGCGATGACAGAGTGCAAATTTCACGCTCGATTTCTCCAGGAAAGAGGTTCAGGGGGTCATGGGGAAGGCGAAAGACTCCAAATACATCGGCCCAGTTGGAGTAATCATGCTGATGCTACTTCCTCACCAGGTTCTCAATCTGTCTTTGAACAATTGATTGATTCGAAATATGTACCAAGAAAGCAAAAATTCAATTATTATTTCTACTTCGGTTATTTGACCAATGGGAAAACTCCAAAAACCTGTTTCTTCATACCGAGTTTTTAAAATAAATTTGAATTCTTTTAATCATTAATTCTTCATTTAAACGCACAAATCGCTGATAAATCTGATAAGCAAATTTAAAATTTTTATGAAAAAAAATTTTCTTACGCAATTTGGCGCTTTAGCTGCTCAGATGAAGACCATTGTCGATTTCTGGCAGATGTCATATCGTTGCGATTTCGTGTTCGAAAACAAAACAATGAAAACCAGTGCCCCTACTACGCATTGGGATTCGAAAGAAAAAATGTTCGAATTCGAATAAATGCTATTACAAAATTCTATTCGAAAATGGCAAATATCATTCGACAAGAAACTAGCATTCGGTACGGTTGGAGAATTTAAGCTCATAATAAATATATATATATATTTTTTATAAAAAAAAAAAAAAACATTTTTTTAGGAAATATAAATAAAAGAACGCACATACCAAAATAACAAAATAAGGCAATTTGAAATAATAGTAAATTTTATGCCGTTTTGCATTTCGCTTTTCATTTGCTGTCATTTTAAACCCAATATGTTTTGGACAAAGAACTTTCTCTATTGCAATGCAAACTTTCCATTAATATTTCGACACCCTCTGTTGTGCGAATCCCACTTCGAATCTGGTAACCTTCTTGAGCTAAAAATTTCAAAGCAGCTGCCAGTCTTAGGATTGAGGGATTGCGACACAACGATGGGGTGTTTTTAATATCGGTTCAATACTATTTCAGACAAAGAAAAAATCTTCTTAGTTCAGAGGAAAGTTTTGAATAAAACTCTAAAAAAACAACACATGCCGTCAATGGTTATTTCTCCTCAATTTTAGCACAACTTATCTCACATGCACAAATTCCTCATGACTGATTCCTTAAATGTCTTCGTTGAATCTCAACTTTGTTATCGCCGTCAATCTACAACGCCACCGAATTCATTTTTAAATGATTTTCGTATAGATTTTGAAACTTTGACCCACTTCTGCATAAAATATTAAATTGCATGTGTATTTTGACGTTTCTCGCGTCGTTTATGTAAACTTCGTGTATAGTGCTGCCACACTTACGTTGCCAAAGCGAAGACGCCAGTTTCGAATCGCAATAAGTAGTGTTACGATTTTACTAAATCAACCTCGATTATTTTCTAGATCCTTCGGGTACGATCTCTGGATTGTTAAATAAAAACTCGCCAACTTAATTTGCAGTTTCTTTCGTTATAAAGATTCTATCTAATGTCCTTTATTTTCTCAGTAATTCACAATTCAATTATACTGCACTTTACTATTTATAATCACTAACATCAACTTTCACAATTTACTCTACTTAAATGTAATTCCAACGCGTTTACTTTACGACTTCACTGATGTTAACGCCAACCAGATCACTTTGTAACTAAGTTGATTTGCAGCTGAGTGTCGCCCTTATATAGCAGTCGGCTGCTCGCAGACGAAAGCGTAGAAGCATCGAATTGTTCGCTATGGAAGGTTCTTGTTTTATCGTTTCTTGAACGTACTAGTTATCGGCTTCTCTCTTTCATCTGACATTCGCCTCGCATTTTCGCAACAGTAGTATGGGCCCAGCACATGGCATCGCGTTTTCAATGACAATTTCGTGCCTGAATATTCCTTGTTCTTACGCTCATTTCACAGCCAATAATGATGAATTTTATAGGCATATTTGTGTCAAGTCTTCCAACTTCATGAGTACTTATGCATACATTGGTATGCAGATATACAAAAATATTAATATAAAAGTCTGAGTCAACCAACAAACTTTACCTACATACATACCTACATAATATACATTTGTATAGACATATGTACACATTCTCACTACATATGTATGTACGAGTATATATAATGTTACTCTCTCGAATTGACAATGCAATCAACAAACCGACTTCTCCTAACGAATTAAAACGAACACTAGAAATTGCGAGTAAATACAAACATCGCGTCGCTACACTTTGAGCTCAACGTTACCAATGGACTTGTACAAGGTGATTGAAAAGCGCAGTGAGTTCAGTTTCTTTTGAGTAGTTGAAGTGTTTGCTCGATTAGTTTATTCATTTCGCACATTGTAATTGTTATTGTGGCCTGGTTAGCGCTACGTAATGGATTCATTAGTCGTTCAGAAGTTTAATATTCGTCTCGTGCAAACTGTAAAAAAATATCCAATTATATATAACCCTAACTTAAAGGGTTACAAAGACACAAATCGTAAAAACAAAGTATGGGAGTATATTGCGAAGCAGTTCAATACCGAACGTAAGTAAGCGATTCTAGTGTGTTTATTAACATAGAAAGATAGAAAACATAGATATCGACTCAGCTGAAACGACCTATATGCATATGTATGTGTGTATGGATGCACATAGCACACAACAAAGTCATGTAAAGTCTATATGCTTGAAAAAATTGTTTTTTGTTTTTTTTTCGCACAAGTCACAAACACAAAACAGTTTCGAAGATTTTCACTCAACAAATAAAAAGTCAAAAGAAATGAATAGTTTATAGAGAAGAGGATTACTTCAAAAGCAGAAATATTCGTACATATGTTTAATAATAAAGTTGGCAATCCGCAAAAAACCAAATATTTTAAAATAAGTAATTTTGCCCATAATAAACATAAATATTTTAATTGAATACGTATTGGGTAGTTTTATGTCAAAAAAATGTTTTTCAATCTTCATTATTAATTTAAATTATAAAAATTTAACATTGTTTTATAACAAAATTTTATACAGTTAGAAACTCTAAAATGTGGTGTCTGTAACACGAATGGCATACATACAAGTAATTAGGGTCAAAAAAGTTACAAATATCAAAAATTCCATTATTCGAAAAATTCTTCATAAAAATCGGAACGTTGGAAAACTGCACAGTGGGTTATTGTGCACATAAACTTCAAAAAAATTTTCGAATGCTTCATATTACCATTTTCTGAAAAATTAAAATAAAGATGCCATTTGACAAGGAAAGTTGTTGTCATTTTTGACGTCATTCGCTTACACAACTTACAAAAAAAATGCTAGAATTATTACCCGTAGCCAAGGCAAATTCATACAAATCACAAGAATACAGCACAAGTACATATTCTGTTTGTGTAATCGTGCGGTCGAAATGTCAAA